AGGGAGTGAGATACCTCCTACCGTTCTTCTATTCTTAAGGAGTGATTTGCTTATTCGGGGCTTTTTTCCATTCCATACGAAATTGGAGTAAATGCACATTATTGTAGATCTAAAGGTATGGAAACATTTGGAGCAGGTGTTCATTGTCATAAAGTCGACTTTTCCCCCTCACGGGTCAAGCTTGGTATATCCTGTTTATGAAATCGTCTACAAGACTCACGGTCCACCTAGGTTTGCTCACACATCGTCCTCTTGGGAATTTTGCACCTTTGAATGAATAGTCATGATTCTGAATCATTCTTATATATGCACAAGGAGCTTGGGTGACTTCGTGATAAGAAGCTGTGTCACAGTCCCAAAGGCACGCTTTTTGAATGCTCCCAAGTGCTCTGTGGGGAGAAGAATGGGCCGTCTGCTGTGCGATTCAAATACTTTTGAAAACCCACGCAAGGGTCAGCTGGGCGTTATGTCCTCGATGGGTCAGAGCACCAACGACCACAGCTACACGTCCCATTTGGTGTGGCAGTGGATGTATAGAAAGTCCAGCAGCATGTATGAACAATCCTTTCCTTTCTCCTTTGATATGCATTTGGTTCTTACTCAGAGAATTCTGTTCGTGCTTATTTCCATGGGTGGTTCTGTCTGTGCTTTGGCCGTTGTTGTGATGCACGCTGAAACATAACTGACTCTCTGTTGGATATTCAGAGGAAGTTAATTGCATGGGAGGAGATTGCCCATCCATCTCCCACAGAGCAGCTGGTGAATTTGAACCACTTGCCTTTGGGGTTGCAGCCACTAGACCAGATTGTTGTTGATGATTGCCATTGAGTCGAGCACAACTTATAGCAACCATATGAATTGAACTCTTTCTGTGACTGTCATCATTTATCAAAGCTCATTGAGTTTTCAGAGTCATGTGGTTTAAGAAGGATCCCATCATTCATAGCTATTTTGTTTTATAATAGGACTGTTGATTAATGTATTTAATTAGTCACAAAATCTAGTCATACATTTCTTGCCACCCAAAATGTCTGCTTATCCATATTTACTTCACTATTTCACCTTTCACATCCCTGTGTACCCACCAGACTGATTCCGTGTGTAAACCTCTCCGTAGTTTTTAAAAATCGAGACTTTATACCATAATTGTTCTTGGGTATCTGTTGTATGTTACCGAGTTTTATTCGTTGCACCTTCATCTAGGTTGGACAGGATTTTGTGAGTTCTTGATCTTTTTTTTTAGCAATGCGAAATTCTTATTCCACACTGAGCCTTGCTTGGTTGTTTTTTGTTGTTTGTTGTTGTTTTTGTTTTGTTTTTTTTCTTGCCTGGTTTTCGGAGGCTGTAAGACAGAAGCTTGGCCATCTTCCTCGTGCAGAGTCTCTGGGTAGATTGGAACCGTCAGCCCAATGTGACCTTGGAGTTTATCCACTTCCTTTCCTGTAGACTTGCGCAATCATAAATAAACTCCCAGTATTAGCCTGGAAGTGTTGTAAAGTCAGCCTTCCAAATTTTTTTTAGGGTTCCATGTATTGCATTTTCTCTCCTGAAGCATGTTCATGTTGTTGTTAGGTGCTGCTGAGTATGACTTCTCCTAGCCCTTGGAACAACAGATTTGAACCTTGTCCTCTCCTGTGCCGTCCTCATCATCTCCGACGAGCCTCTCCTAGCAAACCACCAAGACAATGGAAGAGAAAGATTCATGTAATTGATTTTTCCTGTGTCCAGCCACTCTGGCCCCTTGCCCCCTCCCAATCAAATCACACTGGGTTGTAGGGTCTCATTCTTGTTAATCTCTACTACACACAGTTTCCCTATTTTTGCGTGGGGAATCTCTATAATCTGTATTTGGATAAGATCATGGGAGATTCTGGTTTGTCTTGATTGGTTTCTGCAGGACCGTTTCTCCACTTTGTTTTTTGTCATTTTAGTTTAATCTCAAGAGCCAAGATTTACAACACTTAAGACCCTTGCTTCAGGTCCCAACAGAATACTGAGAATGAGGACCTTGTGAGGTTCATTCATACGTCAGGGTTATATTGTTCACAGTTCCTTCAACATCAGCAACCCCAAAACCAAGCTCACTTCCCTCAAATCGAAGCTGAGTCCTAGCCAACCCTCCAGCAGGTTTTCAGAAGGTTTAAATTGCACAGGAGGGCATTGTGCATCTTGATCCAATAATTAATGACCATGTGACAATTCTAGTTCTCCAGAATATTGTTTGCATGTAGACTGGTCACTGCAGGTAGACCAGTCACCTCCTGATTGCCTAGAGTTCAAGATGATATGACCTGCTCAGGGTCTTGGGTTCCCAGTGTTTGCAAACTCTTGGCCTTCTCTGATGGGCAGAAGGAAAACTTATCATTCTTCTGTATTTTCAAATTGTGCATCTCTCATCCTGCCTATACATTCTGCTATGTGGGTGATGTTACAACGTCTGATGCTTGATGCTAGGATGAAGAGTATGGGAGGACGTAGAATGGATTTATGCTACGATGAGGCAAATGAAAGGACATAGAGGAAGTGATGAGAGAATTTTCCTCATTTCTGCCATTCTTATCACAGTCAACCTGGGAGGGGTTATTCCAGAGCACATCACATCTGCGAGTCACTCTACTGGCAGGGAGGGAGGTCGCGGAGAGCTCTTGAAGGGACAGCAGCCTGTGGTGGACATGGATGGAACGCCAATGCCTCATGTCAGCTCTGTGGTTTCTCAGGTTCTTGGGACAGCCAGGTTCCCACTGACCATGGTCCCTGACTGACCCACAGTGTGCTTTGTGCTGTAGGATTCGCTGGTCATCGAGGATGTGGCCGTGGTCTTCAGCCAAGAGGAATGGCCTTTGCTGGACCTCGCTCAGAGAAATCTCTACAAGGATGTAATGGGGGAAACCCTGAGAAACCTGGCATCTGTGGGTGAGCCTGCAATCTTTTTTGGTACCGCAACCCGGGATAAAAATCTGCCTTCTTAAACCAGAAATACTACATATGGGTATATAAAGGAAAGTTTAAGGGCCTAATGGTGAGAAGATCCAAATCTTCCAGATGCTTTAGAGAATGAGGGGCATTCTCCTTCTGTGTGATTAACTATTCTGAAAACCATCCAGAGCACCAGCTCTGGGTCCGTTCCAACTCGATGGTACCCAGTAACAACATAATATTTTCATATTGATCAGAGATTACAGAGCATAGTTTCCATTCAACAATTCCTGTTTTGTGTACCCAGTATTGTGCTTGAGAACTGGGAAGAATGTGTTACATGGAAGAGAAGCATTTCCTTTTTTTATGTGGCTGCCACACCTGCTCCCTTCCCCATGAACATCCAGGTTGAGATGTGAAAGTCAGATTTCACTACCCTTACGATTTAATGCCATGAGGGTCTCTATGTGCTGGGAGCTCACTGCCTTCCGAGGCTGGTTTGCTGATCTGAAAGATCTGTGGGTCTGTAACTCTGTAGGGTGTGTGTTGATTACCCCTTGGATGTGGCTGCTTTGCTGCCCAGAAATTCACCTTTGTCCATCTGTGGAGAACATTAAGAGCCTGAGCTTAGCTCAGAGCCACACCAAGTGTCCACTACTCTTCATTTTCTGTCTGTCTGCAGGATACACATTTCCACACAAGTATTATTCCAGGTCTGCTTGCTGCTTTCACAGAGAACCCACATAAATAGCCAGGAACAGTATCCAAGGCCCTAGATTCAACAAGGATTCCTCAGACCTTGCCTGGCACACCATCCTTATCCAACAAGGATGCCTTGGGTTCACCAAAGAAGAAAAGAAAAAAATTTTTTAAGACAGTGCAGTAATTATTTAAAAATCAGAAACTCGGTGACTTTTGCATCAGAACCAGTTTACACTTTATTGGATGTCAGAATTGTGTTGCCCACCTGAGGGTGTGTGGTTCAGAATCAGCGATGGCTTCGGGGAAGAGGGATTGGCAGTCTCCTCCCATGGCATTTACAGCCTCTAAGACTCCCTGGAGGTTCAGCTGTCCATGGGTCCCCCGTCAACAGCACATGACACAAGGTTATCCTCCTCTGTGTTTTTCACCATCTTGCACAATCCTGATGATAGGTCTCTGTCTCTAGCAAGTTGCGTGTGAAATATTGCAAGAAGCAGCCACAGCACACGTGGGTAAGGGGTTGTTTACTGCAGCCTTCCTCACTTCTTCCTCCTCTTTTTCTATTTCTTCTTTTTCCATCTTGTAAACTTCAGTCTCCCAAAATCAGCACGATGGGAAGAAGCACACCCTGGACCACATCCTGGTGCAGCTCACGCAGAGACACGTCTGGGCCCCCTCGGTGGTGGAGGAAAGCCTCGAATTGCAGGAGAAGAAGGATGAGCAGACAAGAGGCCAGGCTGGATGTGAGCCAGGCCCATGTATGGAAGCGGGAGAAGCCAGCACTTTTCTACAGGACCTCACGCGCCCTGTGAGAACCCTTGAGGACAAGAAATCTGGTAAGCATAAGCTATGTGCAAAGTACTTTGCTTTCATCCCAGCCGTCCAGATAGAACCCATGCTGACCTTCAGTGGGGAGAAACGTTAGGCGTTTGGTGACTGTGGGGGAAATTTCTGTAGCTTGTCGTCCTTTTCCACAGACGTGAGGAATGTGCATCTATGTGCATGTCAAGCATACGGTAAGACTTATAACATCCTTCATCTCTTGTTCTAGTTAAGAAATGCCGTAAGAGACCGAAGAGCTCTGAGTGTCAGGAGTGTGGGAGAGCGTTCACCAACACCTTTTCTCTCACTCAGCATGCTTGGATCCACACGGGAGAAAAGCCTTACATCTGTGAGCAGTGCGGGAAGGCCTTTAGCCGGTCCTTCTCCCTCACAACCCACGTGCGCACACACACGGGGGAGAAACCGTACAGGTGTGCTGAGTGTGGGAAGGCCTTTAGCCAGCCCTCGGCCCTCACCACCCACCGTCGGACACACACGGGGGAGAAGCCCTACACGTGCAAGGAATGTGGCAAAGCCTTCAGGTGTTCCTCCTTCCTCACCAACCACGTCCGTATCCACAGCGGAGAGACGCCCTACAGGTGTCCAGACTGCGGCAAGGTCTTCACCCAGGTTTCAAATCTCAACACCCACCGGCGCATCCACAGCGGGGAGAGACCATTCGTGTGTCAGGAGTGTGGGAAGACCTTCCGCTGTTCCTCGCACCTGACTACCCACCGGAGGATCCACAGCGGGGAGAGGCCTTACGTGTGCAAAGAATGTGGGAAAAGCTTCATTGACTGCTCCACCCTCACTCTGCATATGAGGACACACAGTGGAGAGATGCCGTACACATGTCAGGAGTGCGGGAAGGTGTTTAGCCGGGTCACCAATCTCAACATACACAAGAAGACGCACAGCGGAGAGCGGCCATTCGCCTGCCAGCAGTGTGGGAAGGCCTTTGGCCGCTCTGCCCATCTGACGGCCCACCAGAGAACCCACAGTGGAGAGAGACCCTACGCGTGCCAGCAGTGTGGGAAAACCTTCACGCAGTCCTTCTGCCTCACCGAACACAGAAGAACCCACAGCGGGGAGAGGCCCTACACGTGTCCGCAGTGTGGGAAAGCCTTCCGCTGTGCTTCGGACCTCACCAAGCACGCCAGGATCCACAGCGGAGAACGGCCCTATGCCTGCGAGGAGTGCGGGAAGGCGTTCACACAGGTATCGAGCCTTGCTGCCCACAGGAGAGTTCACAGTGGGGAGAAGCCGTTCACGTGTCAGGAATGTGGGAGGAGTTTCCCACAGCTCTCCAGTCTCAATACGCACAAGAAGATTCATCGCAGAGAATGAGTGTCAGGATTGGAGACACCCAGGTGTGTCAGCGCTTAGAAGGCCGGCCTGGACAATGAACACCTTCCAGTGGTTAAGAAAGCAGGCATGGATCCACTGTGCTTGGGGAAGGTGGAAGCTACACATAGACAGAAGGCAGCCATTCAAGGAGTATTCAAGATTTTGCACAATTTCTTTGTTAACTCTGAGAGGGAGATTCCTCTCCTGTGTTCAAGCTACATGCTCCCTTTGGCTCTCAGAAACCTGATTTTATACCTAGTGAATGTTCTCCCAGATATGGTTTTGTATAACGACGCACTTTATTGTCAACTTGAATGCACTTTATTTTCTTCTTCCCTCTTGTAAAATTATTGATTTCATGGTCCATTTTATTTAACGCTTCAGACACACAACTCTGTCATCTAATAATATGGAAATAAAAATAAAATGTTTTGATAATTCTTGTAAAAGAAATGTGTAGTAGTTCTTCAGAATCTGTGTGTGTGGACACTGTTGAGACTAATCACTCCCCCCCATCAGATTGGAGGAGAGGAACACAGAGTGTGGCCTCTGTCCTGTGGTGGTCTGTACTCTTCTCCTGCAACCCACCTGAAAGTCATCGATTCTTCTATCATCCTTAGTCTTAGAGCATTTTTTTAATAAGAGGACGAATCCACCAAATATTTAAAAAGCAAGGGAACAAAATAGGTCATACAGGAACAGGGAATCGATGCCCTTAATCCTCTGTCCATCAAGCAGCTTAGCTAAACAGAACAAAATTTTTTCAAGTTATTTATTTTTTTTTTAAATAAAATCATTTTATACTGGTTTACTTTCAAAGTTCCTGGACATTGTTTTTCACACCAGATGTTTTCTGTTTTCCTTACCCATGCCTTCCTCCTCCCATCCAGTTATCAAGTGTTTTTTAAAAAATGTGATTTTTGTGTCTTTCTAATGCGATAACCACTAAAGCTAAAAAGAACGACCAGGGAAATATTTTTTTTTAAATTATTTTTTATGTGGGTACTGTCAAATTGGATCTGACTGGTACAGGAGGAGATTGCTCCTCCTTCTCCAGCAGAGCATTTGGTGGATTTGAACTGCGTACCTCTGGGATTGCAGTGCAGCTTCTTGCCACTAGGCCACCAGAGCTCCTGGGAAATCTTAACTTGTGTTCAGGAGTCATGTTATTATATACAGTATTCATTTTGGCGTACACACACACATTTAAATAAAACACAAGATAATTCAACCCAAAAGTCACTGTCATCTGTTTATTATCTCTCCTGCTGACGCTTGGGTTTCCAAAGCTGTTAGAAAAATCAGCCATGGTTTAATTTAATCCATGTACATGCGGATGATGTGACGTGCATATGAAAGCTGTTAAGTGAAGCAGGAATGGCAGGGGAGAATTCACACCTTTGAAAGGTTGAGGTGATCAAGACGCTAGTTTTGGAATGCCATAGAGCCAAACCCTATCTGTGTGGGGGAAATTGCAGCCAGAATGTCCCCCTGAAGCAAGGAGGATGAGACTTCATTTTACATCCTTGGGCTGTGTCCTGAAGAGGGGCCAGTTCTTGGAGGAACACGTTGTGCTTGGCAAAGGAGCTGGTCGATGAAATACAGGAAAACCCTTTATGGGGTTGATTGATGCAGTGACGTCAACAGAGGGGTTGAGAATATGAAGTTGGTGCATAATCGGCCAGCATTTAGATACTGCTTTCTAGATTTGTAGAGTTACTTTGTGTTTGTTCAAATTCAGGTTTCCAGCTACAGGGGAAGCTCCATTTACCTGTATTGATGGTGGGAGGACATCTGTTCATCCTTCAGCTGCTGTTGGTGTCCATAGCATTCCCAGGTCTTAAACAGTTTCATCTCACAGGGGACAAGCTTCCAAAAAGACACACTTTCCCTCCTGGCAGTCAAATCCAATTCATCCAGCAAGCTTTGCCTCAGAACTTGGTTAGAAGTCAGCTGCGTGTTCATGTTCCCAACAAGAATGGCCCAATCTTTGAACTGTGGCCAGAACAGATGCAAGAAGCCTCAGGTCACACCTTGCCACATTTTGTCCACAGCAACGCCACAGTCTCTCCAGCACCAGGGCCTCACTGTCACCGGGCTCTTCACGGCACGAGCCTTCCTCGCGGAAAGTCCTGCTCTCCAGCGTGGGAAGCCGCCTTTCTCTTATCCTAGCCCCACCGCTGTTGATGCTTTGCAAGAATGTGTGTTGTAGTTATGGTCACTGAAAACCAGAGGCAGCTAACTCTTACTGCTTAAAAAAAGCCAGCATTTAGGCAAATTACCACGCTCCCTATGCCTTTCATATGGCTAATGTAACGTCGAGAACTTTGATGCTGATCTAAAGATGAAAACATCTCTTGAGTGGTTTCTAATTCACCAGCCACTCCTGTAGAGAAATCAGCAACTCCCAGGTAGGTACATGGATCAAGTATTTCACATTACAGTGGTATAATTCTACAAACAGACCTGTAAGAACTGTGCTTAAGAAGTCCACTTAATTTTGGTTGCTCTTTGGGAAATTTTCCTGATCCCCTATGTCTATATTCTGTGTTCTCAAGATGGAAAGAGAGGATACATGAGAAGGGTTGAATTGTGTGCCTCCCACATAGAAGGAAAACTGCTTGCCTAGGGGAAAGAAGTTGTGTTGCCAATTTCAAAGATGAGCAGTTTGAATCCAACAGCTGCTGTGCTGGAGAGAGAAGGAAGTTCCCCTCTCATGCCATATACACCCTCTGTTACCCGCTGGGGGATCAGCTATGCATTGCTTCCATCTCTGTGGGTCTTGACAATAACCTCCTCTTGGTGTTTTAAAATCTAGACCTGTCCCTCTCATTCTTATCCCATGTGGGAATAGGTTTTCTTTGTTATATTCATGAGGTAATCAGTGTATATTGAGTTTTGAAACAATGCTTTGAGATACTAAACAGGAGACAAAGCTGGCTGTCGGAGACAGGAGGCAGTTGTAGAAGTTACATCACAGGAACATGGCCAAGGATGTAAGCATCTTCCCTCAGCGTCAGGAATACCTTCGAGCTAGAGCCTTGAACTCAACTTCTAGTTTTCTAGACTGGAAAAACAAACATCAAGAAAACAAAAATGTTCACCATTGGACCGATGGGCCACATCGTGACAGCTGAAGAAAAGATTGAAACGGTCAACAGCTTCATCTTCTTTGCATCCACTATTACCACCTTTGATACCAGGAGTCAGGAAATTAGGAGATGTATTGCGTTGGGAAAGTCTGCAGCCAGTGACCTCTCCAAATGATGGCAGAGCAAAGATGTTATTTAGAAGACTCAGGTGTGTCTCAGGCCGTGATGTTGGCTATGCCTCTGAGAGCTAGACCGAGGATGGCAGAAGAAGAATCTATGCCTTTGAGCTGTGGTGTTGATGAGCACCGAACATACCATGGACGGCCAAGAGAACAAAGAGGTCTTGGAGAGGGTGCATTCAGTGCTCTTTGTTGGAGAAGAGAGTGAAGCTCTGTCTCGGATAGTTTTGGCATATTGTTAGAGGAGATTCATCCTTGGAGAGGGATGGCATGCTTGGAAAAGTGGAGGAGATGGATTCAACCAGATGGGTTGATGAAATGACAACAACAGTTGCCTCAAGTATGTTAGAGATGATGAATCTGGCACAGGATAGGACAAAGTTGGGATACTAAGCAAAGAACATTTCTGCTCTGGAAATTTAAGGCTACCAGCAGCTCTCTGGAGAGAAAGATAATTGGTATTTTGTGCTTTCCACATGGTGTTGGATTACTGTTCTTGGAGATGGAAACACATATTAATCTTTTTTCCAGACAGCAGTTTGCCAAATTTACTGGCACAGACTGATGGGCACTTCCAGAGCTGCATCTTGTTAGTTGAAATGTGTCCATAGGGATCTCCTTAGTTCCTGGGCACTTTTTTATTGTTTTGGTTTTTTTTAACAATACCTTCAATGCACCTTGAACTTCTTCATCTTTTATTACCATTGAGTCTTGATCCTATGATCCTTTCTGAAATACTTCCATGGCTGCTTGTTTTTTCTGGGACAGTGATTCTGTATATTCTATCCATCTTCTTTTTTATTACTACTATTACTACTACTACTAGTAGTACTAGTACTTCTACTTCATTCATTCATTGTTGAACTCTCTAACGTGATTTGATGCTTCCTGGGTCAACCAATGTCCATAGATTGCTAAGTATTGCAATTCGAAGCATGAACTTGTTTTTAGAGTTGAGAAAGTTCTTCTCTTTTATTTT